AAAGGCAAGGGGGGCAGCCGCCCCCCCCCCTGCCCCCCCAGTTCCGGCGTCCCTGGTCAAATAATTTGTTTCCAGAATCATTGCCAGTATAGTCTACCGGGTGTCCCAAAAATAACTGGACACTGGTTGATTTCATGTAACGTAAAAGCTGTAAAAGCTACCGCAATGAAATAAAGATCATTGCATTCAGAAAGGACTAATAATTTGCATGCAGGAACACTTTTAATAAAGGTGCTTTTAGAGGGCGCGCTTAGGCTATTCCAGCTACAGTTTGTGTTTGTAACTAAGGGCCTGTTCATATGGGTAAAAGTTATCCTGGTTAGCGAGAAAACTTTTTGACTAGCCAAATACTTTTGTTTTGTTCATATGGAGACACGTTATCCCGCTTACCAGGTAAAGTTTCCGGCTGTGACATAGTACTGAACATCAATTGAATTGAAAAGTTGCTGACACGACAGAAAGTTATCCCGCTAAGCCGGGGAAAGTTGTGTTCATATGGGAAAAACATCCCGGTCACCGAGATCTCGCCTGTCAACAAGCGAGATCTCGGTACACGGGAAAACTTTTTGTCTCATATGAACGTAGTGTAACTTTTCATATTATTTTCCTACCAAGGCGAGATCTCGCTTGTAAACTTGTCGAAAAGTTTTCTCACTAACCGGGATAACTTTTGCCCATATGAACAGGCCCTAAGACGAATGATCTGTCAGACAGATAAAGCGTCTTAAACGATGATACGCCTACAATACTATAAATGTCTGAATCAGGATATTAATTGAAGTAAATGCACCATGTATAGTCACTCATTCTTCCACACAAATTTGCTTCGAAAAAAGTAAAATCATGTAGCCTGCAAGGCAGGCGCTTGGGGGGTGGAACAATAGGACGCAAAGGGACGAGTAAGCACCAACGATACAGACGAAATAAGTTTGAAAATCAAAACCTACCACAACGATAAAGCGTAGTTTCCGAGGATGACCATTTGAAATATTCCCATTCCAATTCCCACACCAAACCCTTTGCTCACTCCAAACTTGGCAGCGTTAACGAGATGAACGTCGTACCTGAAACAAGGCAAGACTGGTATGGTATGGTAAAACTTTACTTTAATGACGCTGGCCCCGACAGCAATTAGCTGATTTCCACGGGGGGCGTCAAATATTAACTATTTACAAAAAAGAAATATTTACATTGTAAATGTTACTGGTGTGACCACAAATATCATTTAGCTATCATTATCTCTAATAATATTCTAAAATTGGCTAACAGATTCCGCTACCTTTGCATCAAACGGGAGGCTATTCCACAATTTAGCTTCACTATAATTGAAACTCTTTTTAAGGTACTCTCTTTTTGGTTTAGGAAGGGTTAAATCTGTTAGACAATTTCTAAGATCGTAGTTAGTAATTGGCGAGTGTTTCCCAATATTAGAGACTCCTTAAGGTTAGGGCCGATGTAGCCATTCAAGACTTTGTACAACAATATTGACTTAGTTGTACACCGTCTTGTCTCTAGATCCGCCGTCGTCCCAGCCAAGGGAGCGAAGAACATCAGCAGATCGCGTTTCAAAACTTGCAACGACTAAAAATAAAGGCCTATTTCCACCCAGGAAAACGTCCATGGACAGAAACGGAAAATTTGTGTCGGCCCATTACATTTTACAAAATTTTCTTTCTGCGGAAAATGAGAAATGGACCTCACGCCACCATTTCTGGGGTACTGCCTTTTCCAAATCTGAGATTGTACGCAGTGAATAAGGGATTTGTATAACTACAATTGTGAGTATAATCATTATAAGTTAATTTACAGTTAAATATTTAAAAAAAATGTTTTCACATCGCTTAGATTTTTCACGTCGGTTTCAAAAAAGTACCCCAAAAATGGCGAATTTGGCCTTGGAGTTTGGCCGAAGAAAATCACTGAGGAAACGAAACTTTGTTAAAACAATGCTTGCTGGTATTTCTTGTTGATGTTTTGTTAGATCTTAGTCGTCAGAGGCGTAGCCAGGACTTTTGGTCAGGGGAGGGGCAGCAAAAACCCAGGTGGGGCCAAGTCATTCTGTGCGGTGCTGGGTAAAATTAATTGTCGACACATGTGATTTTTCAACGAACCCGCGTTAAAAATTCACTGGTAAAAAAACAAATTGGTTTAAACTTCATCTAACCCTCATTCAATACATATTGAAATAATTCGGGGTTAGAAAAGGTATGTGTTTCAAGCTGTGTGCCGCAAATAAGCGAACAAGATTTTAGGTTTCACACTGATGCGCAGCAAAGTCAGTAGAGCATCAATCTCGTACCCAGAACAATGCCTGTGCCAACCTCGTACCCAGGATCTTAGCCGCATTGGCTCTGGAGAAATTGAATTTTTCCTGTGCTGTGATTGGTTTAACCTTTATCAATGGTGCATGCCGACAAAGAACCGGAACCCCTAAATTTAGGGGTTCTTCCCCAGAGCCAATAGGGAACTTTAGATTTGACTACGAGTACGACTACGAGTACGAGTACGAGATTTGATCGCGTGCTAGGAAATTACCGTAGCCGTTTTCGTTTCCATTCAAATGTTGCTTTTATAACAGTAAATCAACAACTAGAGAAAAAGTTTCATAAACTAAATCTCCTGCCGACTAAAATCCCCTACAAAACGTGTAAATAAATCATAACATTAAAAATAGGCCAGATATTTAGTACTAATATATTATTTGCGCCGGAGAAACGCTATATAAATGCTACAAATTATTTTTGGAAACAAGAAAAAGCCAACATTCTTTGTTTTTTTTGAAAAGTCGTCGTGAGGACTACGAGGTTTCTCCACAATTTCGTACTCAGATGGGCGACGGCTACGACTTTTTAGCGTCAGTACGGGATGGCGTAAGCATATAGCATGCGTTTAGCTTGACGAATCTCGTACTCGTAGTCGTACTCGTAGTCAAATCTAAAGCTCCCTAATGCCATCTCAGCCCGCGCACAGGCATTGCTCTGGGTGCGAGATTGTGAAAGCATATGTTCTATAGAGTTTTTGTATTATTGACAGCATGAAGCTACATAATCAAGGATTCCCTTTTTTATACAATACATTTTATTAGGAGGCCCCCAAAATTTTGCCAGGGGAGCGCCCCCCCCCCCCCGACCCCAGCCCTGGCTACGCCTCTGTTAGTCGTCCGTGGTTCTAAACTATTATAGTTGCGTTTATTATACGTTACTTTTTAGTTTGCTCTGCCTCTCCACCAAATGCAGCGACAGTTCTGATCGAGGAGAAGCTTTGTTCAGCTACACTCCCGGCTTTCGCATAGGCAGCAAGTTCTTTTGCAGTAAAACCACCGACAATCTAACAGGGTAGAAAAAATCCAACGTATTTTGGTTCATGCGTCAGGCTTAAGCCCTGCAGGCAAACTAGGAAACATTGTTGCGGAAACATTGTTTCCTACCAATGTTTCGCCATGTTTCCAAGAGTGGGCAAACACTAGGAAACATTAGTGAGAAACATAGAGAAACATCAAATGTTTCTGAATTCGCTAGGAACTTGAACACTTTTGCTTCTCGGAAAGCAAATTTTGTTTCCGCAACAAATATTTCCACGGGTGGGCAAACTGGGAAACATTTGAGGAAACATCGAGAATCACAAATGTTTCTACAACAATGTTTCCTTGTTTGCCCAGGGCTTTAGTATTTACAAACAAATAGTTACTAGACCTATGGGTTATTTTTTATTTATTTATTAATTTAGCAGCTTTACTTTGGCACGTAGATAACTTGTGAGTTGACAATATTATTATACTTAACTTACACAGATAATTGAACAAGAATATGAAGAATAGTAACTATATTCATAGAAGATGCCAAATGTGGCGAAACACAAACGCAGGGCCTTTTTTAACATACAAGCTGGGGGGGCAAATGCCCCCCCAGTCCCCCCTTGTGCCCCCCCCCCACGAAATCACATTTTGCCCCCCCCCCCAGGAAAAGTCCCTTTTCCCTAAAATTATAGAAACAAACCAGCGAAGATTAACAAATACATAAACGGAAAGTAAGTTTTAGGCTTTATCCTTTGTCCTTGTTTAACAAAATCGATTTAAATTGTTACTTTTTTCTACCACTAAGTAATGATAAATTATTGTTAATAATTTTTTTATTTTTTGGATGCTCAGAATGCAGGAAATAGCATTTCCGGGTTTATCTGGGGATTATCTGTTTCTGGGGATTATCCCTCTAATAAGTAGTGATAAATGATGGTTAATTTTTTTAAACTTTTTGTGCGTTTTTTCCTTTATTTATTTCAAATACAAGTATAGTTAGCATAAATTTTGGAGCAAATTTGGATGCTCAGAATGCAGGAAATGACATTTCCGGGATTCAAATTTCAAAAATTTTCTGGGGGAATACTCCCCCAGACCACCCCCCATTCATGAGTGGTACATTGGCGACACACGTAGCCTTCAGTCATTGCTATCCCCCTCTAATATATTATATCACAGAAAAGTCCCTTTTCAAAAAATGCCCCCCCCACGGAAAAATCCTTAAAAAAGGCCCTGCACAAACGAGACTATAGGTTCCATGACACCACTAGATGAGATAGAAGAACAAGAAAAATATAGAATAGAAAAATGGAAGGTGAATGGAAAACTGGAAGCACAGAAGAGAGAAGTGGTAGAATGAATGACCATAGATATAGTGAATGACCTGGAAGATATTAGTCAGTCGTGATGAATGAGTGTGAGTTAGGTACACAGTTCCACAGTTTCACGATCCTAACGAAGTAAGAACTTTGAAAATGACTTGTTAACTGATAGTACAGCCAAACTATAGCCTATAGGCACTCTTCAGGCAACTGCATATTGGAGGAATCCTTGTCGCAAAGGTAAAATATAAAGGGCCATTTCCACTCAGGAAGATTTTCCGCAGAAAGAAAATTTTGTAAAATGTGATTGGCTGACACAAATTTTCCGTCGCAAAAAAATTTTGAAGTTGAAGAAATTTTTTTAAGAATGATATTTTCGGAAAATTTTCAATCCGCGGAAAATTTTCCCGAGTGGAAATGGACCTTAACCATTGTTCTACCAAGTTATATTATACCTTTGCAAATAGTCCCGCACTTATGGCTACGATTGGCAACAGCGCCAGCATTACAAGAGTCATTTGCCATAAATAAAAAAATCCCAAGACATAACCGGATATGAATGCTACGAAACTGAAGATGAGTCGTCCGAACTTTCCACCAAGGGCGTCTGCTATTTTATTCAAATCTCTACAAAAAATTTTGAAGTTTACTGTAAAAGCTTAAATAAAGTGTCTGTCTGTTTGTTTGTTTGTTTGTTTGTTTCGTTTGTTTGTTTCTGTTTGTTTGTTTCTGTTTGTTTGTTTGTTTCTGTTTGTTTGTTTGTTTGTTTCTGTTTGTTTGTTTCTGTTTGTTTGTTTCTGTTTGTTTGTTTCTGTTTGTTTGTTTGTTTGTTTGTTTGTTTCTGTTTGTTTGTTTGTTTGTTTGTTTGTTTGTTTGTTTGTTTCTGTTTGTCTCTGTTTGTCTCTGTTTGTTTGTTTGTTTGTTTCTGTTTGTTTGTTTCTGTTTGTTTGTTTGTTTCTGTTTGTTTGTTTCTGTTTGTTTGTTTGTTTGTTTGTTTCTGTTTGTTTGTTTGTTTGTTTGTTTGTTTGTTTGTTTGTTTGTTTGTTTGTTTGTTTGTTTGTTTGTTTGTTTGTTTGTTTGTTTGTTTGTTTGTTTGTTTCCGTTTGTTTGTTTCCGTTTGTTTGTTTCCGTTTGTTTGTTTCTGTTTGTTTGTTTCTGTTTGTTTGTTTGTTTGTTTGTTTATTTGTTTGTTTCTGTTTGTTTGTTTCTGTTTGTTTATTTCTGTTTCTGTTTTTGTTTGTTTCAGTTTCTCTTTGTTTCTGTTTCTCTGTTTGTTTGTTTCTCTGTTTGTTTGTTTCTCTGTTTGTTTGTTTCTCTGTTTGTTTGTTTCTCTGTTTGTTTGTTTCTCTGTTTGTTTGTTTCGGTTTGTTTGTTTCTGTTTGTTTGTTTCTGTTTGTTTGTTTGTTTGTTTGTTTGTTTGTTTGTTTGTTTCTGTTTGTTTGTTTCTGTTTGTTTGTTTCTGTTTGTTTCTTTCTGTTTGTTTATTTCTGTTTCTGTTTATTTCTGTTTCTATTTCTCTTTGTTTCTGTTTCTCTTTGTTTCTGTTTCTCTGTTTGTTTGTTTCTCTGTTTGTTTGTTTCTCTGTTTGTTTGTTTCTCTGTTTGTTTGTTTCTCTGTTTGTTTGTTTCTTTGTTTGTTTGTTTCTCTGTTTGTTTGTTTGTTTCTCTGTTTGTTTGTTTG